CAAAGCTTTTAAATATATTAGTGAATATATAAAAAGAACACTTTTCTCAAAATATTTCGGAATAAATTCCAAAAAAATAGCTATGTTTTAAATCACAAAATATACACCTTTTACCAATTCTTTTTTTACAAAAAAATTCACTTCATAATTTAATACGCTTTCACATAAATTAATGTACAATTCACAATAAAAAAAAAATAGTAAATGATATATAGAGTATGATATATTGTATATTGGTATCACCATTTGTAATTTTACAATGTGTTAAAATAAGATTAAAAGTATGAATTTAGCGTACAAACTAAAAATAAATAAAAAAAAATTTAAAATTATAGAAATAATTAAATGTTAGATAAAATATATGTGGTTTTTTTTTGTAATACATTTAAAAAAAAATTTTAAAGAATTCTTGCAAAAATTTTTGACAAAAAAATACAAAAAGATATTACGAGAAAAAATGTTGAATTCGATATCAATTTCGAAAATACACTGTGGTCTGTCCTTCTGTGTTGTGTTATCACTTAGTTTGTCTTCGTCTATCGTTGTACGCAGTGGTATGTCCTTCTCTTCTATATTATAGTGTGACCTGTTCAAGCTTATCGTATTGTATAATGTATTATGCCGTGATGTGTCTTTCTCTCTATTGCTCTTTCCCTATATGCCTGTCGTGTCTAGTGGGACAGATCACTCGATATCGGTTTTGCCTATAAATAGACCGAGATTTTTCATAATGAATTCATTCGAAAATAAACACAACAGCGATAACATCAATTCAACTTCTGCAATAACAACAGCTCTTACTTCCAATTATTTCATTAAGGTTAGTTAACGTTTCTTTTTATGGATTTCACCTTTTTAAATTTCGTATGTATATATATACATGTATGCATACATTGTTTCCTTATATTATGATACAATGTTGTATGAATATTTATACATTAGAAATTTAAATAAAGTTATACTCATTATATGTGTGCTATTTTTTACAGTAGAGTTTTGTTCATTTTTTTTGTACATATTTTTATCATCCCATTTATTTCTAGATACACTCTGAAAACAGTATGGATATTGATAAAGAAAAAAATGCAATCAACAATTCAACATCAACTGTAAATAAAGAAGTAAGATAATAGAAACATTTTTTATTGTAGAAAAAAAAAGTATTTCTTTTTTTTAGATGCAGCAACGACAACAAGAATGTGCAATGCTTGCAAGTGACCATCAGCAACGTGTTTCAGCAATAATGGAATATCAATATGGGCCACATTCTCATTATTTTAGACTTGAACAGTTACATCAACCATTACAAGGAAAACAATTATTTGGAGAACTAGAAGAAGAATTATGGAATGAATTAGAAAATCTCAAGCAAAATGAAGAACAACAAAAACAAAAGAAAAAAGAATGGGAAGAACTTTGTTTACAATCATTTGAATCTTATGATGAATTCAATGAAGATGATATGGAACATCGAAGACAAAACACACATGTGGAAAATATGGAAGATGAAGAACAATGTAATGTCGAGCCATCTACCATTCAACCTGTGGGAAAAATAAAAGAAGATGTTACTGTTGAACCACCTGGTTTGGTTAAAGCATTTCAACGTTTCGGTGTATATGATGGTCGCAATTATTCTACTCAATAAACGCTAAATAAAACAATGACTTTTTGTTAAAGTTGAATGGTATAAAAAAAAAACATATGTTATGTCCATTGTAATAGTTTTTTTTTTATGTATATGTTTCTAGTTATACTTTGGATTACTGAAGTTATTTTTTTTTTGTAGTTTTTTTCTGTTTCATCATCATTTCTTTAATGAACTCATTTTTTTCATTCTAGATAAAAATATTTAAAATGAATGGAAAATCAACTATGAATTTAGACACGTTGAAAACTCCTCGTCAAGATGCACAAGGTCGATGGCATGAATTATTATCACCAACACAAGTGCTAACAGGACAACAACAACAACAACAATCACATATGGGTGAACAACTTACAAATAAGAAAAAAAAGTGTCGTGGTAATAGAAAAGCACAACGTCAACGTCGCCGACTTCGTCGAAAAGGTTTATATACAGAAACAGTAACTAGAAATGGTGATCACGAACTTAATGTTCAGCATTTGGAACAACACGATCAAATAATTGAAGAAGATATAACAGACAAAATACAAGTGAATGTGTCATCCGATCAAGCATGTTTTTTTAGTTTGAATCTTTTTTTTCTAAATGTTCATCTGCTGATTTAGGTTCCTGCTTCGACACAAAGTAAAATTCATCACAATGATAGTAAAGTGAAAAAATCAACAAAACGCAAAAGAAGAGATATATCATTACAACCACCATCGAATACAATTCATGAATCTTTAAGTCAATTAACAATTTCTCCACCATCAGCAAAAAAGCAAAAAATGATAAATAATGAAGCTCAACAAATTATTACAAATGGAAACTCAGAAAAAAAAAGTTCAAAATGTAAAAAACAAAATAATCATAATAATAATGACTCTTCTTATGTACCCGATTATTTAAAAGTATCAAATCGTATATTTAAAAAAATGTTAATTAGTTCATTAGACGATGCTAAAGATATTGTTAAAAGATTAAATTCAAAAGAAAAAATTAATTATATTCGTCAATATGCTTATTTAATTCATCGTCTTTTTTATGTACAATTACAAGAAAGTCAATGGAAATATTACTATGATATTGGTATACAACAAAATATTTGGACAGGACGTGTATCAAAAAAATGGGCGGCGATGAATAGTATGAATTATACATATGGTCGATCAAAAAATTTAATTGAACAACGACTTAAAAAAATTGAACGGCAACTACAAGAAGCATCTGAAGCATTGCACAATTTTGGTCAACAACCATTACCTCAATCTATATCAGAAATGAATCCTCCATTAGATTTTACAAAATTGAACGCAATTGTTACCGCTGTTGTGCGTAAAGGTCAACATAAATTAAAACAACAATTTGAACATAATAAAAAAATGTTAATGCTTGACTCAACAGATCATCGTCTAGTACAAGAAGTTTATGATTTAAAACCTAATAAACAACAAATTCGTTCAATTCGTAATATATGGAAAGCAATTTATAATAAAAATCAAATGGAAGAACAAATTGAAATATTAAAACATCGTATTCATTCCAACTGTTTACCACCAGCATTCAATCTTCTTGATTATTCACTTGATAGAATTGATAAGAAACTTCGTGGATCAAAACAATCTTCGACTAATGATAATGATAGCAAACAACAAACTATATTAGCTGCTCGACGATTAAAAAAAATTGGTCGCTTTAAATATGATTTACTTGAATTAAGTATTGCAGCTGGTGAACAAAAAGTTAGATATTATGATAAAAAAGCAAAAAAAGAAAAAAAGAAATTAATAACTATTAGTGATAAACTTAAGAAAAATAATACCAATTCAGATATGTTCAAGCAATTAATGGAAGGTATTGAAGCACGTCAACAACATATGATCGAACGTGCTGATTATATTACACAACAAAAAATAAAATCTTTTTTCGACGAAGCTCCGGCGTCACAAGATGCTACAATGAACAACGATGGCGTCGGAGCAAATTAAACTTAAATATTCGAAATCATCCAAACATGCTTCTTAGTTTATATTTTGTCAATACTCTTATACCATTTTCAAATGAAGAATTACTTATTATAAATAAAGGTTTGAAATATATTCCACCATGCCAAAGTCATTTTTATTTTAGTCAACCCGTTGAAAAAATTATTGAACGAGAATATAATCGTCTTCACGGTGAAAATGTTAAAAATCTTACCGATTACACGTTTTCAACAAAGGATTCACGTGCTATTGAATATTTCACTGAAATAAAAAATTTACTTGAACAATTATATACGAAACCATTACCAACAAAACTTAAACGACATGCACAATATATCTACAAGATGATAAAGTCAATGCAACGAAAATTACGACAAGCAAATATTGCTGTTGGGCAAACTGATAAAAGTAAATTATTCTTTTTTATTGATGCACAGGAATATGAAGAAAAAATTCGAAATTATATGAACAAAACAAATGCTTATAATGAAATTACCAGTGGAATTTGTCCATTAGCAAATGATTTACATTTAGTAATATTACTACTTGATCATTTACTCCAACGGAATCAAATTACGAAAGAACAATACAAACAAATGTATCCAAATTTAAAAACATTAGAATTAGCTCATATTTACTTCAATCTTAAAGTACATAAGGTAAAATGATTATGTTCTTTTTTTTCTGATAGTTATTGTATTTTCTTTTTTACAGCCTGAAATGTCAGTTCGACCTATAGTTGCTTCAATCAATGCACCAGCTAGAAAAATATCAGCTTTTCTTGATGAACTTCTTACCCCAATTTACAATTATGTTGCCAAAGATGTCACGTTCATCAATGGTGTAGATGTGATTCGAAAATTAAAAGAATATCAAGAACATGGTTATCTCACTACAACAACATTGTTTGTTATATTTGATGTGACTGATTTATATACAATGATACCACGTGATGGTGCTATTGCGGCTTTAACTCGATTTTGTAAAAAATATTCAGTTAATGGAAAAATTGGAAATTTGAAAATGGATACTATTATTCAATTAGCATGTGTTGTTTTAGATACAAATTCATTTGCTTATAAAGATAAATATTATCGACAAATTAAAGGTGGGGCTATGGGTTCACCATTTACTATGGTTTTAGCAAATATTTATATGTTAGAATGGGAACAAAAATTAATTCAACATCAACAACGACATCATGAAATATATGGAAGGTCATTTTACAATCATTCCTTAATGTTTTTTTTTTTTGAACTAATAATCGTTTCTATTTATAGATATATTGATGATGTCTTTATGACAACTAATTTATCAAAAGAAGAAATTTTAAAAGAAATTGATAAAACAACTGTTACCGATTCAAATATTAAAATTACTACTTCGGTTAATCAATCATTAGAATATCTTGATGTTACAATTGAAAATGATAATGGTCATTTAAGAACATCTATTTATCATAAATCTGCTAGTGAACCCTATATTCTACCTTATGAATCTGATCATCCAAGACATCTTCATATCAACATAATTCATACTGGATTAGTTCGAGCAGCACGTCTTTGTTCAACTGTTGAAGATTTCGATATGGAACGATTAAGTTTGGAAATGATATTATTAGTCAATGGTTATCCAC